TATTGGGTGTCAATTTTTAGTCTTTTTGAGACAAGGTCTCTCAGCCCAACTGGCTTGGAACTCACTATGTAGACCAGGCTGGCCTTGAACTCACAGAGATCCGCCTGCCTCTGCTTCCTGAGTGCTGGGATTAAAGGTGTGGGCCACCATGCTCAGGCAGAGTGATTTTTTTTTGTCTTTTTGAGACAGGGTCTCCCTGTAGAACCCACTCCCCTGAACCTTGCTCTGTAGACCAGGCTGGCCTCGATCTCACAGATCCATCTGCCTCTGCCTCCTGAATGCTGGGACTAAAGGTGTGCGCCACCATGCCCAGCTGGTCAGAGTATTTTGTCACAGAAGTATAGACGTAAAGGAGGACAGAAAATGCCTGGAGGCCTTTAGGTGCCTTTTGGGGTCTGGAACAGGGCTTTGCTAAAGCTGAAGGCAGCGCACCTCAATTCTTGTCTTTGTGCCTTTAGTCCTGAATGGAGAGGAAATAGGTTAGTTAGCACTGGCTTCTAGACAGACATTTTCTGAAGCAGTTAACAGGCTCGTGTTCAGAGGTCAGCCGATCACTGGCTCAAAGGAGACAGGTGCAGACTGAGACAAAAGTGCTAGGCTTTCGTCCTCCTGTGACTGCCTTTGTGGGCCTGAATGAGGAGTCTGCATTTTAGCAAGAGTAGCTTTGAGAGCCAAGTGTGCACACCAGTCATCCCAGCACTCGGGAAGTGGAGGTAGGAGGATCAGAATTTCAAAGTCATCCTTGGCTACATAGGAAGTTCTTGGCCAGCCTGGGCTTCATGAGACCCTGTCTCTCAAACAAAAGCTCAAAATGTCTGCTATTAGGACCCAGTTTAGAGCATGACTCAAGTGTCCCTGCTGGTCATGGTGGGTTTCCTGCAGGGACAGGTAGCCCCCACTCAGTGGGCTTGGTCAGAGTTCCTAGGCATGGCCCATGCCGAAATCCCAGCATTTAGGAGGTAGAGGCAGGAGGATCAAGAGTTCAGGGTCATCCTTGGTCACAAAATGAGTTTGAGGTCAGCCTGGTCTACATAGTGAGTTTCAGGTTAGTCAGAGCTACACAGTGAGACTATGTCTCACAAAAACGAAAACAAAAACAAGCCTGGGGAGATGACTCAGTGGTTAATACCACTTGCTACTCTTGAAGGGGACCCGGGTTTAGTTCTCAGCACCCACATGGTGGCTAACACAGATATACTTACATACTTACATGTAGGCAAAACACTCATAAACATAAATAAAACAGTAAAAATACTTAAAAACAAATGAACAAATGCTGGGCATGATGGTGCACACTTTTTTTTGTGTGTGTGTCTTTTTGAGACAGCGTCTCCCTGTAGCCCCAGCTGGCCTGGAACTCATTGTATAGACCAGGCTGGCCTGGAACTCACAGATATCCACCTGCCTCTGCCTCCCGAGTGCTAGGATTAAAGGTGTGCACCACCATGCCCGGCTTTGCTTTGTTATTTTGGGATAGGGTCTCCTTGTAGCCCTAACAGGCCTGGAACTCGATCTGTAGACCAGGCTGGCCTTGAACTTACAGAGATCCACCTGCCTCTGCCTCTGAGTGCATCACTGCATGCCTTTAATCCTAGGAGGCAAAGGCAGGCAGATTCTCTGTGAGTTTGGAGGCCAGCCTGGTTTACAAAGTGAGTACCAGATCAGGCAGAGCAACACTGTAATTTCAAAACACAAACTGAAACAATAAAAAAAAACCTCCCTTCCAAACAAAAACAAAAATACAACAAAAAGCCTCCAGGGCTGGCGACAGAGCTCAGTAAGTCAGGGTGCTGCCTGCCAAGCCTAATGACCTGAGTTTGAGCCCTGGAACCCATATGAAGGTGGAAGGAGAATACCAACCTCACAAAGTCATCCTCTGACCTTCACACCTGTGCTGCAGCAACCCCCCCATTGCATACACACAGTAATAACATTGATAAAAGAAGTTGAAGACAGTTCTGAAGGAAGCCTTCTTGGCATGCTGGCTCAGGCCTTAGCCACTTGGGGATGAAGGGGGAAAGTGAGCTCAGGCCATGAGGAGGAAAGCCATACAAGAGTCCATTCGGGGCAGACCTAGGTACAGGAAACAGCCCAGCTTGGTGCCACAGGGCTATGGTGGCTGAGGGACTGGCCAGGGTGGCTCTGCATGGGTCAGGGAAGCAGTTTGTACTTGGTCCTGAGGGTCAGTGGGACTTGAATTCGCAGCCCCAACCTGTGTACGGTGCCTCTGCTCAGTGTGGTTGTGCTGTGGGGGTCGGAAGGCTCTGGGGTGCCTTGGGGGCATGGAGCTGTGGGTTAGGGAACGAAAAGGAACTACAGGGAGGTGCTGGGTTCCCTGGGTGGATGGAGGGGAAAGCAGGGGGCCGGCAAGCCACCTGGACACCCAGGTGCCCATCCTTGTACATTACTAGAATGTACTGTATGTGGGGACATGCCCAGGTGGATGGTGCCCACACAGGTAGATAGAGGCCACCCAGACTCCTGAGGGTTGGAACCCACCCTCCCGTTTCTGTCTTTTGTTGGCCCACCTCTCCTCACGTGGGTGGTCTTGGCATCTGGGATTTGTTACTGGAGATCGTCCTGGCCGGAAGTGCTGGGAGTTTCCCTAAGAGCTGGGCAGATGGAAGAAGGCTAAGGGGGCGGGAGAGTAGCAGGAGGGAGGTGGGCAGACCAAAGCTCTGCACCCCTCCATGTGGCAGGATTGGCCTCCATTTAGTTGGTCTGTAAAATGGGCTGGCAGCTTGGGTTTCTGATGGGCATTGTGGGATAGAGGTGGGCAAAGCCTGACTTGTGCTCAGAGACTGACCTTGGAGTTGGGCTGTTCCAGGTCAAGTGGTCACAGGCAGCCAGCACCTTCCCTCTTCTTTGAGACATACCCATGTGCTGGGGGCATGACTGCGACATTCTGCCAATGTCCTGAATAAGACCCAAGTCTTGGGGCTGGAGAGATGACTCAGTGGTTAAAAGCACTGGCTGCTCTTGCAGAGGATCTGGGTTTGGTTCCCAGCACCCACATAGCAGCTAACAATTGTAAGTCCAGTTCCATGGGATCCAACACCCTCTTCTAGCCTCTATAGCCATTACACGCACATGGTGCATGTACATACATGCAGACAAAACATTCATACACATGAAGTAAAAATAAATTTAATAAAAAGACTCAGGAGGCAGAGGCAGGCGGGTTTCTGTGAGTTCAAGGCCAGCCTGTTCTACATAGTGAGTTCCAGGACAGCTGGGGCTACAGGGAGACCCTGTCTCTAAAAGACCCCCCCCCCAAAAAAAAGACTCAAGTCTTAGGCTGGGGATGGAGGCCAGTGGGAGAGTGTTCTTAGCATGGGTGAAGACCTGGGTTCTGTCCCCAGAACCTCTCAGGAAAAAAGGAAAGAAGGAAGGAGGGACAGGGGAGGAGGGGCTGGAGAGATGGCTCAGCTGTTAAGAGCACTGGCTGCTCCTGCTGAGGACCCAGATTCAGTTCCCAGCACCCACATGGCGGCTACGAACCGTCCTTAGCTCCAGTTTCAGGGGAATCTTACGCTCTCTTCTGACCTCTACGGCATTGCACAACACAGGTGTACTCACATACATGCAGGCAATACACTCATACACATAAAATAAAAATAATAAAATATAAAGATAATAAATCAAAAGAAGAAAAAAAATGAAGAGGACTGGGGAGAAGACTCTGTGGTTAAAGCACTTGCCATGTTAGCACAAGGACCAGAGTTCATATCCCCAGAACCCATGTAAGATGCTGGGTGGGCATGGGAGCCTCTTGTAACTCCAGTTTCAGAAGACAGACAGGGACCCCCAGAGCAAGCTGGCTGATGCTATCAGTGAGCTCTGAGTTTGACTGAGAGACCCTGCCTAATGAATAGAGTGGAAGAGCAATTCCCAGCATCAACTGCTGGCCTCCATGTGCACACTCACACACGTGTGCCCAGACACATGCAAACAAGCACAGACACACACACACACACACTCACACACACACACACACACACGCACCACACGTGAAAAAGTAGAAAAGATTCAGTCTTAGAAGTTGTTTTATCTTCACAGGCAGAGAAACTGAGGCTGTAGAGTCAGACTGTGGGGCATTTCCTGTGTGTCATGAAGCTTCTGGAACAATCTAGATTACCTGGGACCGATAAACAGCAAGTGGACGGAGCTTGCTCTTTAGCTGGCTCCCCCAGGGGTGCCAAGTGGCTGGCTGGCCTTCTTGGCAGTGAAGGGCCAGGCTGTACTGACAAGGCAGCATTCAGGTGTGCAGTGGGCCATGCTCTGGCGTGTTGGGGCATGTTGGGGTGTGTGCATGGAGCCTTCAGTCAACCACTTGTTTTGTCTCTCCAAGAAACCCTGTTTTCCAGACTGCCAGGGGCCTCACCCTGGGTACACTCTGTGACCTTGTGGTCACACATGGGCACATTTCTGAAGGTCCAGCCTCCCAGGGACCAGGTGGGGACAGTCACACCTTGCTAGGAATGAAAGAGGAAGTGGTCAGCCCTGCCCCCTGCTGTGTGTCTTGGGCATGCCCTGAGCCTCTCTGTCCCCAGTGTCCAGTCCACAGGACAATAGATGCCCATGACGCTCTCAGAATAGTGCCCCCTATAGGATGTGCTGTGAAAATACAAGTAATGATGCTGGCCTTAGAACTTATATTCATCCCTCTGTGTGTTGGCTTTCTGTCCCTTGACCTGGGCTGGTGGCTGTACCTCTCTGGGCTTGTATCAGATACTTCTGATAGAGGCTGGAGGTGAAAGCCAAGCTGGGGGCTCATTTCGTGGGTCACTGGTGCCCAGGTGAGGGGAGGTAGTAGAGTCACTGTGGCTGAGCAGACCAGGAGCCAGAGCTGGTGCCAGCCTGCTCACCTCACATTTGCTCCAGACCTGCTGAATCTATCTTGGCCTCAGTTTCCCCATTTGGACAAGATGGCCCCTGAGGCCCTGCTTTTCCTTTCTCAGATCTGAGTTGCTTTGGACACAAGTGTTTTTATCTTCCAGAAACTTCGATGCTCTCAGGAAGGAAAACATTTACGAGAACAACAAACTGGTGAGTCCCCCACATCTGACCCACTGACCTGCCCTCTGAACCCCTCTTCCTTGAATCCCCAGCCCACATCTCACCATGCCTCAGTGAAGTGAGATTTCCACTGGGCCATGAGGGGGTTCCCCTCTGGGGACGTGGCTTCCCCCCAGCTCCTCAGCAAGCCCTATGCTGAACAACCTCTGATCTCAGAGCCCAGGTCCTGTTGGCCCCTGTCTCCCTCCCAGAAGCTGCAGGAAGTGGAGGTCACCCTCCTTCCCTATGGGTGATCACCCAGGGAAAGGCCCCTGGTGGCTGTGGAGGGCTGGTCCTGGTGGTCCTGGGGGGTGGGTGAGATGTCACCCTGATCCTTGAATACCACTTTCCCTGGAAGCCCTTGGCTTCAAACTCTGCCCTGTGCTCCCTTAGTGAGACCTTCCCTGTCCAACCTCCTATCTTCCTGCTGGGAAATAACCCACACCCTCCCTCCTGGACTGACAGGCCTGTTCTTACTCTGAGGCCTGCAGGGTTTGCCCAGGCCCCTGGCACTGGAGATCTGGGGTGCACAGGGACAGCGGACATGAGATGATTCACCTGCCCAGGCAGCTTAACTTGTCAGGAAATATAATGAAAGACTCAGTTCCTGGGGCTGGGGAAATGGCCCAGCCTGTAAAGTGCTTGCTGTGCTTATGAGGATCCCCAGCACCCATGTAAATGCTGGGTGGTGTGATGGCCAGCCCATAGTGCCAACACATGGGAGGTGGAGACAGGGACCTCCAGAGCAAGCTAGCTAGCCAGATTACCTCAATTGGAGGACTCTGGATACAAGTGAGAGACCCTTCCTCAATATAAAAAGGGGAGAGTGATTGAGGAAGACATGCAACATCAACCTCTGGCCTTCATATATGGCATACATACATATGTGCACCCAACACACATGGTAACACATGTACACACATGTCAAAAAATAAGGGAACTGGAAAGATGGCTTGTTGGTTAAGAACACTGGCTGCTCTTGCAGATGACTGAGGTTCGGTTCCCAGTACCCACTAGAGGCCTAACAACTGTCCTTAACTCCAGTTCCAAGGGATCCCATGCCCTCTTCTGGCTCCATGGGCACTGTATGCATAAGTGCAGTTACATGCAGGCAAAACACTTATACATAGGCAAAACACTTATACAAATAATCGAGGAAGGCATTGGACATTGACCTCCATTCACATGCGCACGTGTATGGTCACGCATGTGAAATGACTGATTCAGTTACTCAGGTGCTGGCCACATTCCAGCCATGTAGCAGGGAGGACAGGGTGGGGTGGGGCTGGGCCAAGGCAGGGTGTGGGGTGCAGCAGGGAAGGAGTTTGGATTTCCCTTCGAGGTGGAGAAACAGGACCCTTGGGAGGTGTGAGCCTGAGGCTCGGCTTGGGAAGGAGAAAGGAGTATCCTATGGTGAGGAGGTCAGGGAGCGGGAGGGCAGGCCTGGTCCTCAGTGCGAGGGGCAGAGTTCTGGGCCAGTTCCAAGGGTCAGAGGATCTGAGGCGTGGTGTGAACGTAGCATGGGGGCCCCGAGGTATTGCACACGCAGGAGTGGGAAGTTGAAAGAAGAGCCACAGTAAAGGGAGCTAGCTACAACAGTGCTCTGGGTGTAGTCAGGATGTGGGTGGTTGTGAAAGGCAGGGGCAGTGAAGGATAGAGCCTAGAATACCTCCAACAGTCACTGCACTGGGCTGAATGGACCTGGAAGAGCTTTACTTTAAAAAATTTTTTTTATTTTGTAGTACTGGGATTTGAACTCAAGGCCTCACATGTAAGTAAGCAAGTGCTCTACCACTGAGCCACACCCCCAGCTTCTCTCTAAGAAAGTCTAGATAGGTGCTCCAACACTGAGCTATACCCCCAGCCCCTCACTGGGGGATTCTAGGCAGGTGCTCTACCACTGAGCCACACCCCCAGCTTCTCTCTAAGAAAGTCTAGATAGGTGCTCCAACACTGAGCTATACCCCCAGCCCCTCACTGGGGGATTCTAGGCAGGTGCTCTACCACTGAGCCACACCCCCAACTTCTCTCCGGGGCATTCTAAGCAGGTGCTCTACCACTGAGCCATGCTCTAGCCTGATTTTCACTTTTTATTTTGAGACATAGAGTCTTATCAAGTTGGTCTGACTGGATTTGAACTCACTCTGTAGCTCAGGGTGCCCTTGAATTCACAATCATCCTGCCTTAGCTTCCCAAGTAGTTGTGATGACAGGCCTGGGACCACAGTTGGCAGTTTGCTAAGGGTCCAATTGAGTGGGTGCCATTGGCAACTACAGACAGGTCATCTCAGTGAGACCAAGAGTCAGATGGGGGTGGGGAATACAACGGAGAGTCCTGGGGTTGGTCAGCAAGTGAGGGGGCAAGGGTCAGGCCAGGTCATAGGTCAACAGTTGGAACATCCCTGGACCTTTGGTGCTGAAGAGGGCAGCCAACAGTGGGGATGGGAGAGCCTACAGTCCACCAGATCTGATATACAGTAGGTGTACTGTAAGTGCAGGTTCTTGGCCTTTTTCAGTCCAGTGTATCTTATATCAATCTACTATGGCTTGCTTCTAAGGCTCAGGCTGCCTTGTGTGCCCTTGGGCCTTGGGGAGAGTCAGTGACCTGGAGGGTGTCAACTACATCATGGAAAATCTGTTCTCTGAGTGGATGAGGTTTGGCTTAGAAGGGCTGTAGGGCCTCAGGGATGTCTCCAGGGTGATGAGGTCTGAGGATGGAGTGAAGACATACTACAAGAGGTGCCCAGGAACCTGGCCTGGTGGTACAGGCAGTACAGTTAATTGGAAGGCTGAGGCAGGGGATTGCAAGTTCAAGGTAAGTGCCTGCCTAGAATCCCCCAGTGAGGGGCTGGGGGTGTGGGTCAGCATTAGAGTAACTGCCTAGAATCCTCTAGTGAGGGGCTGGGGTGTGGCTCAGTGGTAGAGCTCCTGCCCAGAATCCCCTAGTGAGGAGCTGAGGTGTGGCCCAGTGGTAGAGCACCTGCCTAGAATCCTGCAATGTAGGGTGCGTCTCAGCTGTAGAATTCTTACCTAGCATGCTGGAGCTCTGGGTTCAATTCCCAGCCACACCCACACACAAAGCAAGCCCTCTAGCTCTGGTCCCCTGAGCAGTGTCAGTCCCTGGTTGGGACTCTGGGCTCTTATGCAGATGGACAAGCTGAGCCCAGAAAGTCACCCAGTCAGGGTTCTCTGGATTGGAAGCCTCGGCTTCTTGAGCATTCACTTCTAGCGAGGTTGGCAGTCCAGCAGGAGAGTCCTCTCCACCGTCTACCTGACCAACTCACGTCCTCTACCCAGGCCTTCCGAGTGGCCGAGGAGCAGCTGGGCATCCCAGCCCTGCTGGATGCTGAAGACATGGTGGCCCTGAAGGTTCCTGATCGACTGAGCATCCTTACCTACGTGTCACAGTATTACAATTACTTTCATGGCCGGTCCCCGAGTGAGTCCCTGCCCAGGAGGTCCCTCCCCCAAAAGAGGCAAGACCAAGACCCCCAGCTCTGTCAGAGCCACCATAGGGCCACCATCCCATGCTGCAATATCCATCCTTGGGACCCATGCCCATCTCCTGTCTTGACACCCAGTGCAGCTTGGGATGAGTGGTGTGGTAGGGAGGCCACTTTCATGTGTGTCTCCAGAGCTGCATCTGTTACCAAGGAGACCAAAGTCTTGTCCCTGTACAAGGTCCTCCATCACTCATCGTGCTTCCACTAGGGCCCTGAGCTAGGTTTGTGTCCACCCTATGCTCATGAACATAGATGCACTCTCACCTTGGTCTCTCCGCCCTGGGGACTCAGTTTACCCATCTTGAACCCCAAGGTCTTACCCTGGGGCTGTCTTGGCAGACTTTGTGTGATGCTCAGTTGATTGTCAGTGGAAGCCGTGCAGCCTGGGCAGCAATGAACAGAGTGGACAGGCCCTGGCCTTCACCCAGGCCTGTGCGTGTGGAGCTGCTGGGCTTACCACACCACATTCCTCTTATAGCTTTAGAAATCTCTGGAATCCCCCTGGGCCCAGGGCCAATGCTGGCTGGTGGCTTGGAAGCAGAAAGTCCCTTTCTGTGACCCCCCAGATGGGACTGCTGGCCTGGAGAGGGGGTGAGGGCTAGGCCAGGGTTTGCTGGGAAGAGTGTGCCCTGGGGCTGCCTTTTCTCAGTGCCTCACTCTGAGGGCACCACAGAACACCCAGGCCCTCCGCTGTAGGCACTGGGACCTCTTAAGGGACACAGGCTCTGGGTGGGACTCCCCTGACCCCTGTTACTTGTGTCTCCTGCCAGTTGGGGGCATGGCCGGTGTGAAGAGGCCCCCATTAGACTCAACAGAGGAACCTTCTGGAAAGAAGGCCCTGCCCCAGCCAGCCAAGTTGCCTTCATCTGCCCTGGCCCGGGGGCCACCACTGTCTCCAGCCAGGACAAACCCTGTGGTCCAGCCGAAGGAGGGAGTCTCAGAGGGGCCACCCCCAAGAGCTGTAAGAATATCTTGGTTGAGTGGGCCTTGTAGGTCTATGTGTACCCCAAAATACACAGCTGGGAGGGTGTTCCCTTGGGTGAAGCAATCCCCCACCATGCTGTATATCCAGCTCCCACTGGGGTGGCTCCTCTGGGCTCCAATTCAGCATGGCAGGAGTTGGGATTCCCGTTATGCAGATGGGTAAACTGAGGTACAGAGGTCATGCAGGTGGGGTGGAGCTCGAATCCCAAATATTTCTGGGCTGGCTTAGGTTACAGCCCTCCTCCCCTTGTAGGAAGGAACCCTGAGCTGTCTTGGTCTTCCCTGGCAGGCTCAGTTGGAAAACTGTGTACCAACTCCTCAGAGGTGGAGCTTGGGCAGGCGGCAGCTTGGGCTTTGGCACCCCCTGCTGTCTGATAGTGGTTACTGCAGACTCCATGGGCGTGACCAAGGCAGGCCAGGGATGCTAAGGCCTGAGCCTGCTGTGGTGGCAGAAAGTGCTGGATCTGTCCCTGGCTCCATGCTAGGTCCCCAGGACTACTGCAGAGCTGGGCTGGAGCCCTTGAGCGTGGAGCACTGTCCACCCCCTGGTTCCCTGGGACCTCAGCTCTCCAGCTTGTAGTGTAGACTCTGTCAGCCACCCCTGGGCTGAGGTGGGAGCGCAGAGATGTCAGCTGTCCCTCGGCAGCCCCTGGCACCTCCTCACAGGGTCTGGTGACAGCGGGCAGCTCAGTCAGCAGCACGTGTGCGCTCTGTGGCAAGCACGTTCACTTGGTACAGCGTCACCTGGTTGATGGGAAGCTCTACCACCGCAGTTGCTTCAGGTAAGATCTCCCACCACATGCCTGGTGCACTGCCCCAGCTCGAGCACCTGTCATGGCTCCCTCGTCCTCTCATCTGGCCTCATCCATTGCCAAGGTTCCCCAAGAGACCCTGCTGTCCCCTACCAAGCCCTAACATCCTTCTCTAATGCCTCTCTCAGAGATGACCTTCTGGTCATGCTGACTCAGTCTCCCTTGTGGACTCTGTCTCCTCAGCCCTTTGTGTTGTCGTTTTTTACTCTGTGACCCTCATCAGCCCTCTCCCTGTCTCCCTGTAGCTCCTGGGTTGTGGGTACAGGAGGAGACTCCCATGTTCTCTTTTTGTGAGGCTTGGGGTGGTTGGCCCCCAAAGTGGGGCACTGGTGGTCTTTATGTGTGTCTATGTCAGGTGACCATGTATGAACACTAACAAGAGTCTATGGCTCACAATGGCTGAAATCACTGACAGGAGTTTGTTGAATGAATCATTGATCGCATGAGTAGATATGAGAGTGTGGCAGTGTGTGCCTGGGAGAGCAAACCTGAACAAGCAAGAAGCTTGTAGACTCTCAGTCTCTATGACTCCCTTCCACAGGTGTAAACAGTGCTCCAACACACTGCATTCAGGGACCTACCGTGCCACAGGAGAACCAGGTGTCTTTGTTTGTACTCACCACCGCCTGGAAGCCACCTCTGCAAGCCCCAAGTTGTTGGGCCTGGCCTCTAGGCAGCTGGGGACCGTCCCTAGGGACACCAGGACACCCAGTGCCCCACAGAAGGTCCAGGAGGTAAACGGGCTGAGAGAGGTGACACCAAGAGTCAAGGCAGCAGACTGGGGGCCTGCTGTGGGCAACACAACCACCAAAGGTCTTTTCCGGGCTGAACTGAACCCATCAGCCACCTCCCGAGTCCAGGAGGAGAGCCCTGGAGGGCCCAGGCTGCCCACAAGCCCAGTGGCCACCTCTTCTGTGAATGGCAAAGCTGTTACCAGAGTGATCAACAGCTCTCCAATGGGGTGGACATCAGCTTCCCAGAACAGTGCAGCGGACATCAGCTCCCGTCTTGTGGTGTCCCCGAGTACCCCAGACCCCCGTCCATCTGTGCCCCAAGACCGGGCAGCCTCAAAAGTTTTGACTGCTCAGACCCAGCTCAACTCCAGGGTGGCATCTCCTGGCACAGGGACCATTGGCTCCCGTCCTGTGGTGTCCTCTAGTGCCGCAGACCCCCATCCATCTGTGTCCCAAGACCGGGCAGTCTCAAAAGGTTTGACTGCTCAGACCAAGCTCAACTCCAGGGAGGCATCTCCTGGCACAGTGGCCATTGGCTCCCGTCCTGTGGTGTCCCCGAATACCACAGGCCCCCGTCCATCTGTGTCCCAAGACCAGGCAATCTCAAAAGGTTTGACTGCTCAGCTCCAGCTCAACTTGAGGGTGGCATCTCCTGACACAACAGCAATCGGCTCCCGTCCTGTGATGTCACTAAGTGCCCCAGACTCTAGTTCATCTGAGCCCCAAGGACGAGCAGCTTCAAAGCTGGGCGTGGCCACTCAGACCCAGCTCAACTCAAGCACAGCATCCCCTGTGACCTCCCAGGCATGGACCCCCTCAGCCTCGAGGACCCAGCAGGCCCGAGAGAAGTTCTTCCAGAACTCAGTCCCGGTCTCAGCCAGCAGCAACTCTGCTGGTCGGGTCCCCTCTGTGGCAGATTGCCCTGCCCGGGACAGTAGCCGTGAGCAAGCACTGAGCATCCTTAGGAAGACCCTGCCAGGGCTGGTAGAGGCTGGTACTCAGGCTCCAAGCAGGTAGGTACAAGGGAAGTGGGGTACGCCTGGCTGTGTAACCTCAGTTTCCTGACTTGGGAAATGGGGATGGAGGCAGGAGAGAGGCTGGAGGGCAGGATGTGCTGGTCAGGGTGTTTGGGGTTGGGCTGCCACCATCTGCACATGCTTGGGACTGCAGGTGGGTGGCACATACTCAATGGGTGTCTCAGGAGCCCACACCCGTGGTGTGGTTGGGAAAGCAGGTGTTAGGCTAGGTGTCACGGTACCCCAGGCCTCAGTCAGCTTGTCTGACCACAGCTGAACTCTGAGCTCTTCCCTGGTATCTTGCATCTATAGTGTTTTCTGCTGGACACTGACTCACGCAGTCACTGCCTGAGTTCCCAGGGCACCCCTCACAGGGTGTCTTCAGCAGCAGATGTGTGTCCTCTGGACACTGGCATCCCTCGGGTGCTGTCTGCTTTGCTCCATCTCTGCCTCCATATTGTCACATTGCCTCTACCCTATGTCTCCTCTTCTGGTTTTTTTTTTTGGATGTGGTGCTGGAGATAGTAGGAGAGGAGAGTCTTATACAGGCTAGGCAGGTGCTCTACTGCTGAGCCACGCCCCCAGCCCCTCACTGGGGGATTCTAGACAAGTTTTCTACTAACCGAGCTATACCTTCAGGCTTTTTAAAAGAAATTCTGAGTATGATGTGTGTAGCGGGAGTTTAAATGTCAGCACCTGGAGGTCAGAGGGCAACTTTGTGGAGTAGGTTCTCTCTTTCCACCCGCATTTGGCTTTTGGGGCTGGAACTCAGGTCTTCAGGCTGCATGGCAAATGGTTTGCTCCTCTAAGCCATCTTCTAGGCCCAGGCCTGGGGTTTTGAGATGGGAACTCGTGTATTCCAGGCCTCAAATTCACTATGTATCCCAGGCTGGCCTTCACTTTCAAATCCGTTTGCCTCGGCCTCCCTAGTGCTAGGCTCATAGGTATATGCACCCACCAGATTCTGTCTTTTATAAGGACACCAGTTTTGAATGGGGCCACCATCCCCCAGCGTGACCACCTTCTAATGTGACTACATCCACCTTTTTCTGAATTAGATCACTCCCTTCACTCCTCAGTGGACCTGAGTTTTAGGGGATCCCATTCAACCCAGCACAGGCATCTCTGAATCAGGAGGTTCCGTCCCAAGTTGGCGCTTGATTTCAGGGTGAGGCATACCCCAGTTTGTCATACCTCTGTCCAGGGCCCTTTTTTTTGACTCTGATGGCACCATCAAATGGGGTTTGGGACACACTACACAAAGTGCCTTTCTGGAACTTTCCCTTTGACTGAACTCCCTGTTGACTAAGAAGGGCTACAGATGGGCAACTATTCCCAGCCATTCTTCCTCACATCACAGAGTCAGTCCACAAGGCTTCCCTGTATGTTGGCACCCTTTTGACAGATTGGAAATCGAGGCCCAGAGAGGGCTCATGGTGCTCAGGGGCACATAGTGCAGTGGTCAGTCAGGCTAGAAGGCCTGCCTCTATCCTGTATGCTGGGCTGGCTCTGGGGATGTCCAAAGGTGGGGTTGACTATAAGGAGACACCTATAACCTGGGTTATCTGCTTGATCTTTCCTTGCCCCCAACCCAGGTCCAGGTGTGCCCCCCCAGGAAGGCCAGGAGGAGGGACCAGAAGGATGGCGGGCCCGCCTGAGGCCTGTGGATAAGAAGAATCCTGCTGAGAAGTGAGTGGGGATGGAGGGTGAGGGGCTGGGGGTGGGAGGTTGTGGGCCTCACCCTGCCAGGGCATACACTCATGGGTCTACAACATGAATGGAGCCAGCACACAGCAGGTGCCTAATAAGTGCTTATGGGCACATGACAGTGCACATCCAACAGTTGGCACAGCTCTGGCAAGAACCTGCACCTTTCAGAAAATTGGGTCACACCAGCTTGAGTGTCCTGGGACTCTTGACACCAGCCAAGTGATGGAGACACTGACAAGGACACCTCGTCCTGGTGGGGTGACTTAAGGGATGCAGTGGACATGGGCAGCAGCTGCACTGTGCCCAGCAGCTCACAAGAGCCTGGCCTGGGGTGGGCGTCAGGGTATTTGGTCTGTGTGGACCACAGTCTGTCTCAGTTCCTGGAGGTGGCCTCCCCATGGCAGGTGGAGGCCCACACTCCTGTGCCCTGAGGGCAGAAACAGGTTGGGTTATGGAGCTGGAGGCCAGAGGCCAGTCCATCTGAACCTGCAACATGGCTTTGGGGTGACCTCCTGGCTGTCCCCACCCAAGGCAGGACTGACCTTGTCTTCTACCCAGGGCTGTGGAGCAGAAGGAGCCACTGGTCCGGGTAGAGCTGAGGGTCAAGGACATTTCCAGGAAGGCCTCCAGCAGCCTTAAAGGGGACATCCGCACCACCTTGACTCCTGTGCAGCCTGAAAGGACGCCAGGCATGCCTGGCCCCAGGCCCAGCCTCACAGGTAATGCTTCTGGAAACCCGGGCGTGTGTCAGTGTGTGATGGGAACCCAGGCCTGTGTCCAGTGTGTGGGGTGTGCTCCCACTACCCTGCTCAGCAAGGGATAATGGGTGCACATGCATGTTCAGGTGTATTCTGATGTGGAATGCATGTGTACACAGGTTCAGGTGACATGTACCTGCACATATGTGTTCAGACACACAAGTGGATGCATGTAGAGCATGTACACGTGTGTGAAAAGCATGTATGTACACGTGTTCATGTATGTGAATATGTGCACATGTGGGATGCATTGTGCACATTGACGCATATGTGCACATGTGTATTCACTCATGGGGTATATGCATGCCTATAAAGTCACATGTGTGATGAATGTGCAGGCATACATGTATACATGTCAGACATGCATTTGCCAGTGTTCATACATGGGTTGCATGTATACACAGGTGTGTTCACATATGTGTGTCCAGACACAAGGTGCATGTATGTATACACATTTAGGTATGGGATGCATGTGTGCACTTTCAGGCTTAGACACAGGATGTATGAATGCACATGTGAGTCCATGCATGGAATGTATGTGTGCACATGTGTGTTCAGGCACAGGGTGCGTGTATGTACACATATGTAGGTATGGGGTGCATATATGCACTTGAAGGCTTAGACATGGGATACATGTGTGCACCTGTGCTCACATATTGTATTTGTGCTCAACCATAACATACATGCATGCATGCACATTTATGCTCATGTATAAAATGTGTGCATTCAGATATGTGCACATGTCCTCACATATGGGATACACAGGTGTATATGTGTTTAGACAGGATGCGTGCATGTGCACATGTGTTCAGATATGACGCGCATGTGTGTTTAGGCACAGGATATATGTGTGAGCATGTGTGTGCATATATGGGACACGTATGCACACATGTATTCAGACACAGAATGTATGCATTCACGTGTGTGTTCAGGAATAAACTGAATGTGTGCGTGTGTATGTTTAGGTAAGGATGTATGTGTGTACCTGCATGTTGGGTGCTGCAGTGTTCACTGTGTGCACGTGTGTGGTGTCCATGTTTGCTCCTAGCACTGTTGTTCTGTCTGTGGGTGACCTCCCAGATCACGCTCTGTCCTGTGGTTGTATGCTGTCTCCCTGGGTGGACATGGCCAGTCGGAGCAAGACAGAGGCCCTACCCTGTGTCTCCTCAGGAACCGCTCAGGACAGCAACACTGGCTGTCCTGAGTCAGATCAGAGGTTCAGTGCCGCTGCTCCTGGTGGTGCTGCTCAAGGGCTATGGCTAGCCTGACACATGTCTCCACCCCTTACCTTTGTATGGGCAGCCCGTTCTCCATCCCCATCCCACCGTAAGAAACTGGCCATCCCTGCTAGCCTCGATGTCTCTGCTGATTGGCTTCGGCCAGAACCCGTGGAGAAGGAAACTCAGGCTTGCAGCTGGAAGGAGAAAACAAAGCCCACTAGGGGTACACCAGGTCAGCCAGAGGTGCCATTCTATTTGATGTGGGTAAAGGGGACGATGCCTGCTGGAGCTTTGGGGCATGCGTAGGAACTTCCTGGGCCTAGAATAGAGGGGTCAGACCTTATCCAGGCCACATCCAGGTTTTATTGGGCTCTGTGCCCTGAGCCTCCTCAGTCTGTTCCTTTTCCAGGGAAGCCTGCGGGCCTGGCCAGCACCCCTCCTCCACCTGGCGAGACTGTGACCTCCCCTATCAGAGTGAGTAAGCTGGGTGGCTGCGGGAGGCTGGGCCTTGGTCCTGTGCTTGCTCTCACTGTTCCTTGGTCCCCCAGCTGCACCCTGACTACATCCCCCAGGAGGAGATTCAGAGGCAACTGCAATACATTGAAAGTCAGCTGGACACCCTGGAGCTCAGAGGCGTGGAGCTGGAGAAGCGGCTGCGGGCAGCAGAGGGAGGTAAGCCTGGGGCACACCCCTACTGACGGCTATGCTCCGCCAGGGGCCATGCCCTACTGCTGATCACACCCCCATTGTCTGGCCACACCCTCATGGACTGATCATACCCTACAGCTTGCCATGAGCTGGCTGCAGTCCACTTGTAGGTTATCACCCCTAGACTGGACACATCCACACTGGATGAACACATCTACACTAACTATCCTTAGCCCTTACCGGCTGCAGCCTGGCCACACCCCTGCTGGCTCAGCTTGGCCTTCCTGGGCCCCTCTGCATTGAGGTGGTGGCTGGGTCCTCTACGGCCTCCCTGCCCACCCGTGGCTCTCCACAGACGTCACAGAGGATGCCCTCATGGTGGACTGGTTCCGGCTCATCCATGAGAAGCAGCTGCTACTGAGGCTGGAGTCAGAACTCATGTACAAGTGAGGCCCTGGGTCCTGCTATGGTGTGCAGGGATGGCTGGGAGGTGTGGTGGGCACAGCCATGTCAGGCTGGGCCTCAGACCTCTGTGTCCTGCAGGTCCAAGGACCAGCACCTGGAGGAGCAGCAGATGGACTTAGAGAGCGAGCTGCGCCAACTAATGGCCAAACCGGGTGAGTGTCTGTCTCAGGAAGCTGGGCCTGAGAGCCACAGGCCCACGTGTATAGCTTCCCTGGGTTCTTGTGGTCAAGCCACGTGGCTTCAGCTCGTATACTTCTGGCTGTGTGACCTCATGCCGCTGTCTTAGCTTCTCTATGCCTGTGTTTCATGTTCTCCAAAGAAAGGACCCCCAGACAATTGGTGTTGTGTTCAAGGGCTTGATGTGGGAGAGGTACTTTGTGAATTGAGGACAGTCGCACCCCTGCCATCCTGGATATGACCTCCCAGATCACGCTCTGCCCTGTGGTTGTATGCTGTCTCCCTGGGTGGACATGGTGGGATGTGGGACCCCAGCTTCAGCCCGGCTTGTCACAGTGCCGCCTTGTGGGAAAGACCACACACTCAGGCTGACCGCTGTCTCTCATCCAGCCTTTGCTGCAGAGCCTCTACCCAGTACCCGACTCTCCTCTCCAGGGGGGAGGTCCTACATAAGCAGTGGGGATGTCCTGTCCCTGAGCAGAATGGGGCCAGGGCATTTGCTGATGGCTGACTGTCCCTGCAGAGGGTCTGAAGTCCCCCCAAGACCAGCAGCGGGAACAAGAGCTGCTGCGTCAGTACGTGAGCACCGTGAATGATCGCAGTAACATTGTGGACTTCCTGGATGAGGACCGACTCAGGTGAGGGGCAGGGACCAGGGGAAGGCTGCCCAGGGATCCAGGGTGCTCCCAGCAGGCGGCTGACCTCATCTCACTAGGTGTATTTCACAGGGAGACCCAAAATGTGGGGCAGCTAGCCCTCCCATGGGGCTCCTTCCCACCCAGGTTTGCAGCCTTCAAGGCCAGCACCACCTAGTGCAACTCTCTGTCATGGAGGAAATGGCCTGTCATTCAAGCTGTCCAGTGAAGCAGCCACCAGACAAGGGAGAGGGTACTGATAGACCCAAGGCATGTGACTTCTAAGATTGAGTAGTTGTGTCTAAAACTTGTATCATTTTTTATTTTAATGGCACTGAGAATTAAACCCAGGGCCTCACACATATTAGGCAAAGGCTCTACCACTGAGCCATGCCCCCAGCCCTTCACTGGGGGATTCTAGGCAGCTGCCCTACCATTGAGTCCTGCCTCCAATCCCTCACTAGGTGTTTTAGGTACATGCTCTACCACTGAGTTAAAACATTATCCCTTGGGTTTTGAGACAAAATCTGGCTATACCTAGCCACACCTCCAGCACCGTTTACTTTACTTTGAGACAGGGTCTTACTAAGTTGCCCAGGCTGGTCTTGAACTTACTCTACAGCTCAGGCAGTCTTTGAACTTACAGTTCTCCTGCCCCAGCTTTCCAATTAGCTGGCATGACAGGCCTGCACCACCAGGCTCAGCTTAACACTTCATTTTAATCTGACTTTGGTTCCCGGTGCTTTGGTCCTAGAAGACTGTCTTGTGTCATGCCCCAAATGAGGCTCAGTGTCCAGGAGACACAGGATCAGCCCAAGACAGATCTTAAGTCAGACCCTTTGTGATCCTGTCGAGGCCTTGGCTAGTGTCAGCTCAACTGGCCTGCTATCCTCAGGTCACTGTTGAGTGACTGGACTGGGAGGGTAAGAACCTGCCTAGGGAGGAATGGGTCCTTCCTGTGGTCTCCCTGTGTGAGGGGAGGTGGCTGAATGCTAGGTGAGGCTGGCTCTGGTATGAGGGGTTGAGAGAAGCCATGCACCCTCCATGGTTCCTGGCGGGGGCGTCACAGTTGCCCTGTCTGCATTCCAGGGAGCAAGAGGAGGACCAGATGCTGGAGAACATGATCCAAAACCTAGGTAATTCTGGGGCTTGAGCTGGGGCAGGGAGGACCGGCCTCCTGGATAGGGTGGGGGCAGGGCCTCCTGTGGGCACAGTGATAGATGGGCATAAGCTGTACCTCTGACAGACAGGCAGCTGCACACTATTAGACCAAGAGTAGTTTGTCCCTTGGGTGCCAAGCAGTGGCTGATGACCATGTGGTATGGGGGTGAGCGCCTGTCCCTCAGGACAGCCAAGCAGTAGCTGATGACCACAGCCTTTGGGTCCCCTGCAGACCTCTCCCTCATGTGTATAGGGTGAATGAAAGCCCCCGTGAAGGCCCTGGAGTTCCCAGGGATGTCAGGGAAGGACACTACCACAGGGTCCCCATATGGACCCTCACTACCCTGTCTTTGCCTCAGGTCTCCAGAGAAAAAAGTCTAAGTTCCGTTTGTCCAAGATCTGGTCCTCAAAGAGCAAAGGAGGCCAGGCGTGAGCTGCCCATCGCTGATTGCAGGGCTCCAGTTCCCACTCAGGAAGAGAGACTGGTGCTCTGGCCCTAGACAGGGTACTTGGGGCACCAGGGCCTGTACCTCCAACTCTGGGATCCTTATAACCTCAATAAAGACATCACCACTCTACATATGCCTATGTGTGCCACTATGCCAAAAGCCCCGCAACTGTGTCCCAGCCCTGGGCATGTGCTCAGTGCTTTGAGGGGGGGGGTACTGGCTTTTCTTCATTTCTGTTGCTATGATAAAATATGACAAGGGGGCTGGAGAGATGGCTCAGTGGTTCAGAGCACTGACTGCTCTTGCAGAGGATACAGGTTCAGTTACCAGCATCCACATGGTAGCTAACAACTGTCTGTAACTCCAGTTCCAGAGAATCCAAAGCCCTCTTCTGGCCTCTGCTGGCATTGTATGTATGTGTACCACATACATATGTATAGGCAAAACATTCATACACACAAAATAAAAATAAAATTAAAAAAAAACAACCTAGGGGATAAAGTGTTTATGTCAGCTCACAACTCCAAGTCCCAACCCATCACAGCACCAGGAGCTGGAGAAAGCTGGTCATATCACATCACAGGGAGATGAATGTGTGTGCGTAGTGCTCCATTCATTTTCTCCATTACACAGACCAGGACCCAAACCCAGGGAATGACACCACCCATGGTGGGCTGAGTCCTCACACATCTTATCATAGGACAATTGACAGCCCATGGGCTAACCTGATCTAGGTAGTCCTCACTAAGACCCTAGGCAATTCTACTTTGTGTCAAGTTGATAGAACTCACCCTTACCTCTCTAGATATTTTTGCTACTTCCTGGTGGACAGATGGGCTGGACATAAGGTATAAGGGGGACAGAGTGGGGTGCTATAAGGTGCTGTATGGGGATTATGTGCCCCCATGGCCTGGGAACTGTGCCGTAGGTACAGGTGATCTTCAACTTCAGAACAGATGTCTAGGTGTTGATAATAGGTCTTTGGGTGACCTAAAAGGATGTGTCTACCCAAAGGCACAGCTAGGGGGGAGGGGAATATGCCCCCCCCCCACCCCGAGTCAGCAGGGCTCAGCCAACTGTAACACTGTCAGGTGTGGAAGTGTGGACTTGTTCCTTGAGTCCTGAACAGCACAGGCAGCTTTGAGCAGGGCCCAGTGGCCTCTTGTATATTGAGGGCAGGAGACTTGGAGGCTGGGTAAACCTGCCTGACCTTATCCCCTGAGTCTCCCCAGAGCCCCGCAGGTCTTAACCCATCAAGGGACATGCTGCAGTGCAACCCCTTGGCCACCAGAGGGAGGCAGAGTGACACACTAGGGATGGGGTTGCCTGGAGGGCCCCAGAGCCGCTCCACTTTGTAGCTCTCTGAACTTTGATGATGGAAGCTCAGAGAGGTGCTGTGATTTCTAGGAAGTCACACAGCACATCAGGTGCAGGCCAGGGACTGGAAACTGGAAGCCAATGGCTCTCAGCTCCTCAGCTGTGCCCTACTGGGGCCCTGCATTCCATATGGGATGAGGGAGAGGGAGGAGAGCTTCCGGTGGGATTTGGGGGATATGGAAGGAAGGGAGGGTCACTCAACAGGCTATGCCCTCCAGGAACCAGGAAATCAGCCTTAGAGCACAAGAGCCAATATACTGTTGGGCTCCCTTCAGTTGGGTGTCAGAGCAGGAAGTGCCTGTTGATCCACTAGGGTGGCCTCGGAACAAATGGATCTGTCTACACCTGCTGTGCCCAGTTTGGAATCAGATCAGCCCAGTGATTTGGCCTGGGGCAGCTTTTGAGGACAGGAAGAGTTGGGGTCCCAAGAGTATCAAGGTATGCAACTGGATGCCCTTCATTGCCTGTGTATACAGCAGGGGCTTAATATGTGTTCACCCTTTCTGTTCCCAGAGTTAGCCCAGAACAGTAATATTCCTGTTTGGGTATGGAGTTAGGGGTACCTAGGGGAGGGACTGTGTCCCCTACACCCATATCCACATTGGTCTTCAGGATCAGAGGTTGACTGAAGACATTCTGGATACAAGAACAGTGAGGGCCCAGGCCTGACTCTGGATTCAAACAGTTGCAGCAGGAAGAAGGAGAGGTGAAGTTGGGGTGGGGAGTGACCTGCCATGCCGATGTACTGTTGGATTCACACGGATGTGTGAGTGGGCACACGGATGTGACCCTGTCCTCACTGGGCCTCACCTCCCTGTAGTACCTCTTGGCCCTCCCTACCTACTTCCAGATTTCTGGGCTACTGAGCCCTTCTCAAAGAGTCGCCCAAACTCTGGGTTCCAGTGTTGGTTGGTTTGTTGCTCTCTAAAGTGGAGGTCCTCCGTGCCTTGCATGCAGTGGGGCTACAATGATAATTGTTGAATGAGCAGATGAATGAACGAATAAGGAAGACTCAAGTCTCCAGCCATCAGCTGCTTTTTAGGTCTTGGAGGACAGCAATGTAGGCCAGGTCCACTGGTACACAGAGACTGAACCTGGCTGGACCCTGACCAGTGTCATCTTGTTTTGGGACTCTAGAGTTGCCCCCTGCCAACCTGAAGCCAAGCAGGCAAGGACAGGGCAAAGGAGGGAGGCTTGGGTTCTCTGGTTCTCCCCGGAGGCATTTTAGAGCTGAGGATTGTGCCTAGGGCCCAGTCCTGGCAGATGCTCTGCGCCTGGCCATGTCTCCTTGTCCAGGGGCCCGCTTCTGTGCGAGGATGCTTAGCCACAGCAAGGTGGGGTCACACCGTGGGAGGCTCTCAGGAGATTCAAATGGGGTGTGGTGTGCTCAAGAGTTTAGAGCCTGGGTGTGCTGTGGGAGATGAACTCTCCACGGTCTCTTCCCATGCCCCTGAGGCCTCCTGACTCTCCCAGGACTGGGGCAACTAGGGGACAGGAGTCCCAACCCTGCTGCCTGCTCACCAGGCCTCTGTCCCTCTGTGTTTTGGCTGAAATCTCCCTTCCCCTTTGACTGCTTTGGCTCCCACCCATCCCACTCATTTGTTTTGTTTGTTTGATTTCTTGTTTGTTTTTGAGACAGGGTCTCACTGTGTAGCCCCAGCTGACCTGGAACTTACTATGTAGACCAGACTGGCCACCAACTCATAGATCTACCTGTTTATGCTTCTGCCACCGAGTGCAGGAATTAGAGGTGTGTGCCACCACACCCTGTGGCCTCCCTCCTTGTTTGGTGCCCAGCCCTTCTGGCCTGCCTGGGGTGTCCTCCTCCTGCCTCCCAGGCACCTGATCAAAAGTCTCTAGTGAGACTGAAAGAAAATCCCAGTCAGGTACAGTGGTGCACACCTTTAATCCCAGCACTGGGGAGGCAGAGGTAGGTGGATCTCTGTGAGTTCAAGGCCAGCCTGGTTTACATAGGGAGCTCCAGGCCAAATGAAGCTACAGGGAGTCCCTCTTTCATAAAGATCAAAAAAGAAAAAGAAAATCCCAGCCAGGTGGTGTTGCACACCTTTAATCCCAGCACTCAGGAGGCAGAAGCAGGCAGATCTCTGTGAGTTCAAGGTGGGCCTGGTCTACATAGCGAGTTCCAGGACAGCTGGGGCTACAGGGAGACAGAAAAAAAAAAAAAGAAAGAAATGAAAATTCCTTACCTTCTTCTGAGGCTGCTAGGCACTTTATAAAGTACACTGGATGTAATCCAATTGAAGGTGCAGTCTCAAGAAAACCTTATCTCAAATTCAAATTGTATCATATTCTATTCTTAAATTAAAAAGTGAAAACCTTTGCATTGACTCTCACATAATATGTAAAACCTTATCATCTATTTTAAAAATAAACATTAGATGCTCATACAGACAATTGCTAGCCTCATTATTTATAAGGGAGAACTTTCCAGATGGGGGTCAGGGTTTGTGTGGAGATGTCAGAGGCCTGGGCTGATGCTAGGTGAGATGGATGCGTCTGTGTCAGCACAGGTCAGGTGCCTGGGGCCAGGGACCAAGAAACAGTGGCACCATTTAAAGACGGGTGTGTTGGTGTTTTAAGAATTGTCATTGTGGGGCGAGAGATGGCTCAGAGGTTAAGAGCACTGGCTACTCTTGTAGACTACCTGGGTTCCGTTCCACATGGTGGCTAACAACAATTTGTAACTCCAGTTCCATGAGATCCAACACCCTCTTCTGGCCTCCACAGGCATTGCAAGCCCATGATGCACTTATATACATGCAGGCAAAACACATACATAATTTTTTTTTTTTGGTCTTTTTGAAACAGGGTCTCGCTGTATCCTCAGGTGGCCTGGAGCTCACTATGTAGACCAGGCTGGCCTTGAACTCACGGAGATCTGCCTGCCTCTGCCTCCCAACTGCTGGGATTAAAGGCTTGTGTGCCATGCCCGGCTACACATAAAATTTTTAAAAATTAAAAAATGAAAGAATTGCTGGATGTGGTGGTGCACGACTTTAATCCTAGCATGCGGGAGGCAGAGGCAGGTGGATTTGTGAGCTCAAGGCCGGCCTGGTCTACATAGTGAGTTCCAGGACAGCTGGGGCTACAGGGAGACCCTGTCTCAAAAAAAAAAAAAAAAAAAGAAACTTGCTACTTTAGTTTCTAGCTTCCCCAAACTCCATTCCTGGCAGCTAAGGGCACTTGGCTGGCTTTGGATAGGTAACATATGATAGGGGACATTCAGGTTAACCAGTGCTGATGAGGAAACAGGATTCTCAATGCCCAGCTGCATGCCGTGATGGCCACTGGCCACAGGTGACTCTTGGTACCAGAATCAGAGCCAGAGGAATGAAGGTGCAGGAGGAGCACAAAGTGAGCAGGGTCCTCTTTTTCTGTGCTGGGTGGGTTGTACTCAGAGCCTCTGGAATGCTGGGTTGGCAATCCACCACTGAATCATGCCCCCAGCTCCTCACTGGGGGGTTCTAGGCAGCGCTCTACCGAGCCATGCTCCTATGGGCTCCTATATGGGCTTTTGAAGACATATAATGGAAAATAGCATCTCCTTACTACTTTTTTTTTTTTTTTTTTTTTTTTTTTTTTTTTCTGCCTAGCCAATTCCTACCTCCTATTCTTATCATACCATCCTCTGAAAAGGTTAATCTCACAGAGATCTGCCTGCCTCTGCCTCCTGAGTGCTGGGATTAAAGGCCTGCGACACCACACCCCACCCCTAGTACTTACTTTAAATA